CCATGAGAGATTCGTTCATGAGGCTATCCACATATACAAACACAGAGACAATTTCAACTGAGAAGATGGATTCTGGCTTAGCAATCATTGGAAGGATTTTATAAACCATTTCGGGTCTTAATTGATTGTTCACGCTTACGGTGGCTTTCAGACCGCATCCATTATTTTCGTCTCCCCCCTCCTCTTTTCCGAACATAGATGGACTCGTCCATCTGAATAACTCTCAAATCGCTCTCCGTGGTGCTAACGTTAAAAATAACCGCCACTTTTTTCAAATTTTATTGCTGTGGTTTTCACACCTGATGATGATTGCTTGTGTTGCAGTCGAAACGTCGTGAGAATTTAATTGTTTAATTGTTTTATATTTTTATTATTTTATTGTTTCCCTTCTACGTGACTTTACCGAAAGAACCAAGAATATGAATCCCTGCAGTCACGAAAGCTTTAAATCAAAATTTAAACCCATTGTTGTTCTTCCAACTGCTTCCCAGCGCTGTATATTCCCATCCCATGTCATGTCAACAGAGACTCTGATAAAAAATTACAATTCGACTCCAAAACAGCCATGAATAACGGCAACCTTCACCTTTGTAGCATCCCCATCGCTCAAAAGCAGACGTTCCCGTAGGGGTTTTCACTGTGACGAGAGGGAGCCGCCGCTGGGTGATCGCTCTGGCCTCTTGGGATGGATGTTGTTGGACTAAGCAATTCCATGCCAGTGGGGCCGTGCACTTTGCAAGCGATGTCCAAGAGGGGGTGAGGACTATGGATGAGTTTTGGATTAGAAACAAATCGATTTAGGGGGTTTTAAGGACAATTTTTTGTCTTTTCCAGATAAATTACGTCATGTACTCGTCTAGCGTGTCTTCACACGAACAAAGGCGACGTCACCCGATGCCACGGGACGGCAAGTTTGATGGAAGAAATGTTAAATTGAGCCCGTCAACCATTACCGTCCTCCCACCCTCGCCATTAAAAAATATATAATTTAAATGACATCGTTGATCACGTATGGACCCATTCCATATAAACCCATATAAACCCAAAATTGCTCCAGCTGGCTCTAAATCCTGTGAGCAGCAGCAGGGCCTTACGTGAAGATGGTTTTCTTCATACTGAGGAAAAGGTTAATTAGATATGTGATGCCAGACTCTGTGCCATGATACGGTCGGGCAGCACTGTGGAAAAGGTGTTCAAACTCACAATTCTGCAGCTTGTTAGCTCACATCGTGGCTAGTGGTCCCATCGTGTCTCCCGGGTCAATAAAACGAGCACCACTTTGTAAGAAGTCAAAAGCAGCTGATACATAGAGACACGCTAACGTGACTTATTTTGTAAGAGGGCAATCTGGTAAGAGGTGCTTTGTTTGTGAACACCGCATTGGTTCACACTTGAAATTAGACCTGTGTGTAAGAAAGCTGAGTGTGTGACTAAGAGTGAACTAATATACCAGCCCAGTGGCTGAGCTGTAGAGCGAATGGCTCGTCATCAGAAAGTTGCCCATTTCAAATTGGCTGTGGGTTTTCTAAAACCCATAATCCCTCTCGGGGTCGATACAATGCATACCACTTTGTGGAGAAATCGACTTTGCCCAATGGATAGACTCGCCTCCATCATGGGAATGTGGAAATTCCAGAACTTTTCTCAGGCTGCTTCAGTTCTCATTTAAGTAAGGAAGCACTTTGACTTCATTTTTTTTTACTTTACAGCTATGCTGGTTAGGTTAGTAGGTATGTACGTATGTTTAACGTCTTTTGCACCATATGTAGCCAACCGCGCAAATCGGAGGTGCGGGGGAAGGACAACAATCTAAACACAAAAAACAGTTAGTTATAAGGAAATGCGTTTTCAATCTAATTCGGTGTAGATGTAGGATTAGGGTTAAGGATTTGACGATGGCTAATGGAGTATGCATTACAGTCAAGGTCGGTGATAGACCTGCAACTAGGATAATGATCGGGCATACATTTAGATTGAATCCTTTAATAGGCACTTTTTGTGTTTTTCATTACAGAAGCCCACAACCCATCTGACTGTTGTATGTACGTTGAACTTCTTTCACACCGTACGTGACCAACCGTGCTAATCTAAAGTGTGGGAGATAATAATAAAGTAATACAATAAAAATAAAGTAATACAATAATAACTTATAATAATAACTGCCGTGTATCCCCCCACAGGCGTGCTCTGCCCGTTAGCTCTGTGCGTGCCACTCTATAGGACGCCCAGGAGCAGAGCGAGCTGCAGTGGCTTCTGGCTAACCACACTGTGTAACAATTGTTTTTGTTCCTGGGTAGTAAGTGTTATTTCCTAATTGCTTATGCCTCAAAAGTACAGAAAATGGCTATTATTCCCCAAAAACTTTACTTTTGTGACCAGGACAGTGATATTTTGAAATCGACCTATTTTCCAGAACATTCCAGATATATTCAGTGCTGAGTAAACTTGGAGTAACTTCTTGAACATTCTAGAACTGTCCAATATTATATGTAGTAGTATAAATACAGGGGCCTTCAGCAAGGCCACCAGTTCAGTTTATGTTCCAGCTGCCTAAGTGGATATATATATCTGCATTATTCTGAAATGGCATCAAGAGGCTGCAAGCATCCGGCAGACCCATTTTGCTATGTCTGCGGCCAATTTATCAACACAAGAGCGAACAAGTAGTCTGTGGAAGCATCTGAGCACCTCATTTCACCTGCGAGCAATGCAAAAAACTCTGGAAGGTAAGATGGACAATTATTTCACAGAATTTTATGTTATAAAATTTGTTACAAATTTTTTAATTGTAAAAGTTTTTAATTTTAAAATGTTTTACAATTTTCAATGTTATCGAAAAATATATCATATATGAAAAATGTTGCGAGAATCTCTTACATATTAGTCATGGGTGCAATAAATGTATTTTTGTAGGATGGTACAGAGGGGAAAAGAGAGCCATGAAGTGCACTATCCCAATAATTTGGCCGGAACCCAATGACCACTCAAGCAACTGCTACTTCTGCGTGGTGGACCCTTCCAAACGTCGGACTGGCAAGAATGCACCTGCTATCATGTATCCGGACCTTCCTTCATCCATCGCCCCCGTGCCACACTGCCATGAGCTCCCTGTACCCACTCCTCCGGAGAGAGAGCAGCCGTCTTTAGAAGAGAGCAGCAAGTCAGAGAGCAAGGAAGACGTTGTAGATCTAGATGGCAATTTCAGAGGTGGAGCTGAGGAGAGAAACCCATACTACCCCAACCAAAAAGCCCACAAACAACTTGATCAGAGATCTTGGTCTTACCAAGTCCAATGCCGAGCTTTTGACATCTCGGCTCAAGAAGTGGAACATGTTGGATGAAAGTGTGCAAGTCGCAGATCAGAGGAAGCGTCACCAACCTTTTTGCAGCTTCTTCACCCATCAAGATGGGCTCTGCTTCTGCCACAATGTGTTCGAGGCAATCAGAATCGCCTGTAACCAGAATGAGTAGCACCTCTTCATTGACAGCTCATCCAGGAGCCTCAAAGCCGTGCTACTGCATAATGGCAACAAGTACCCGTCTCTTCCCCTGGCTCACTCGGTGCACCTCAAAGAGGATTACAACAGCTCAAGACCTTGCTGGACACCTTGAAGTATGATGAGTACGGATGGGAGGTCATCGGAGACTTCAAAATGGTGGCATTCCTGAATGGTCTCCAAGGCGGTTTCGCCAAGTGTCCCTGCTATCTTTGCCTTTGGGACAGCAGGGACACCAAGGCGCATTACCACAGGCGGGACTGGCCACAGCGGACCGAGTTCTCTGTGAGGAGGAACAACGTCAAGTGGGAGCCACTGGTGGACCCCTGGAAGGTGCTGATGCCACCACTGCACATCAACTTGGGCGTCATGAAACAATTTGTCAGAGCTGTAGATAAGGAGTCGGCAGCCTTCAAGTACCTTCAAGACTTCTTCCCTAAGCTGTCTGAGGCAAAGGTCAAAGCCGGTGTCTTCATCAGACCACAGATAAAAAAGATCCTGGAGTGCAATTAATTCCACAAAAAGCTCACTCGTAAGGAGAAAGTGGCTTGGAACAGCTTTGTTGCAGTGATTTGTGGCTTCCTGGGCAATCACAAGGTCGAAAACTACGTGGAGCTGGTTGAGACTCTGGTGAAGAACTACGGAACAATGGACTGTAGGGTATCCCTCAAAGTCAATATCCTTAATGCTCATCTTGATAAATTAAAGGAGAATATGGGAGCGTACTCAGAGGAGCAAGGCGAGCACTTCCACCAGGAAATACTGGACTTTGAACGCCGCTACCAAGGACAGTATAACGAGAACACGATGGGAGACTTCATTTTGGTGCTGATTCGTGAAAGTGATTTACAGTATAATCGTAAATCTCAAAAAACTACTCACTTCTAAATCTTTTGTAGTCATTTTGTATTACTTTAGGATAAATACATGTACATTTTTATTCATATGTTGTTGTTTTCTGACTTTATGTTACACAAATTCGCCCGTTTTCTCATTGAAAATAGGTCAATTTTAAAATACCAATGTCCTGGTCACAAAAGCAAAGTTTGTGGGGAATAATAGCCATTTTCTATACTTTTTAGGCAGAAGCAATTAGGAAATAACACTTACTACCCAGGAACAAAAATTTTGCTACATAGTGCCATCAAAGACGGTTACCGCACTGCGCAATGTCAGATGTGCTTCTGTGGCCATCTGGGACGCCTTTCCTTCAGATATTAGGAAGCCACTGGAGCTATGCACTTTTAGGTATATAATTAAAACGCATTTCTTTAGAACCGCTTTTTGTGTTTAGTTTCTTGTCCTTCCCCCGCTTAGCACAGTTGCCTACGTACGGTGCGAAAGAAGTCCAACATTGACATACGTACTCATTTTCATAGGCACTGTTTGTGCTTTTTTCATTACGGGAGTCCACAGCCCACCTCACTGGTGTGTATCCCCGCCCCCTGCCCGTGCCACTGTGGGCGTGCTGTGGCCGTTCGCTCCACGCGTGCCACTCTATAGGACGCCCAGGACCTGAGCAAGCTGCAGCGGCTGGGCATCGGCCTGGTGCTGAACGTCACGGCGCACCTGCCCCTCTACCACTACGAGCGCGGCGGCCTGCACTACAAGCGCCTGCCAGCCAACGACAGCGACAAGCAGAACCTGCGCCAGTACTTCGAGGAGGCCTTCGAGTTTATCGGTCAGACGCTCACCACCATAGTCACCAGCACCATAACCACCAGCACCATAACCACCACCACCGTAACCACCACCATAACTACTACTACCACGCTCTGCGGACACTTCCATTTATAGGGAAATACGCGTGTTCGTTATTCACACTTTACGATTAGAAGTTGAAAGCGTCAATTCGTCAGCCTCTGTACGGACGTCTGTCCTGTCGTCCATTTGGCTGTAACGTGGAGGTAGGATAACTCTCGGTAATATGATCTGATATGAATTAAATTTGAGTGTTGCTATTCGAAACTTACGTATAGAAAACTGGTAAGGTGGCTGAATGTCAGTCCATCCATAACGTGGGGTCACGATAATTCGCTAAATAGATAGTCCAATAGTAACATATTTTTTTGTAAACACTTGTGTTGCTATTATCCAAGAGAAAACCACCAGATACATTGGTAAAAGAGTTCCCCAAAACTTGGGGATATAAACCGGAGCATCGAGGATTGTTTGCAAATACTGTACGGGAACGCGTTTTGCCCAGACGGTTACACGTTGTCTCCTGTGCGATTAAAAAAATACTTCCAAAGAAAAACAAGTGTTGGAAAGAATTGCATAATCCTTGTGTACGCACGATTACTCTTGTTTAAAGCAGTACTTTATTAATATTCATAAGTAAATGTCAGATCTAACCACAACTAATCCACAACTTATTTTCGTACGGAGGTGCCTTAGCATTGCAGGCAAGTTCTAGATAAGAGTCCTGTGTGCAATGAAGGTAGTGGAGTGGTAGGGCTATGATTGTTTGTGCTTTAGTGCCACAATTATTAAAAGGTGTCCCCTTGAGTGTCCTAGCTGTTGCTTTGCCATGTGCCGATAGCGAAAATCAGCGAACAAATTCCAACACTGGTCAAGATCGACCAGTCGAGGCGCTTTAATAACACGATCAGCAACTTTGTGGGGAAGTCAACAATCAATTATCGTCCCTATCGCAGGAATGTGGAGTGAGATGAGTGTGTCCAAGTGACCCAGCTGGCCACCGTTATGCCCTCGGCAGAGGATGGAGCCAGCTGTGTTTATCTTTCTGCAGGGCACATTCAAATCATGTCATCTGCTGTTAAGAGGATGTCACGTCAGGGTACAAGGGTAGAAAGATGCCTGTCAGTGTTATGGCCCCTATCCTTGGGTGTCATCAGAGTCAGACAGCACTCGACTCACAGCCCCCAAAACGATGTCAGCTGAGATCCATGTCGGAGCACAAATGATGACCTGATTCACCCTCCAAGGGGGGTTGATGAGACGAGCCCAAATTGCGTGGGTTTTTGCTGCTGTGCCGTACGGCTCTGCGATGTGTTTTCAGGCTGTTCCACCGAGTGCTGTTCAGCGTGATGTCTGACGTTTCGGCCACCCCCCCCCCCCCGAGCAACCCGCAGTACAACCAAAAACCCAACACTGGAACCGCCCATCGGCGCATCCCGAGCGGTGGTTCTATGCGGAAACCACAACTTGACCACTTTCTTTGTAGCCGCCAATTAATATTATCACAACTTCGTGATTGTTAGAAGCAAGGAGACGCTTTTTACTTTCGAATTAAAAACATTTCTATAGATCAAAAAAATTAAATTGTCCGCCACTATACGTGCATATGTATGCTGAACTTATTTTGCACTATATATATTGCACTATATATTGGGGAGGCACATTCCCCCCAATAATCAAATATGCTCAAAATACCCCCCCCCCAATATATTGCTATAAAAAATATTTTTCAAAATAATTGCGATGCTATGTTAATAAAGACAACACTTTGCTAAACCTTGGCCACAAAATCTGGACTTGTCTTTATATAACAATGCATAGATTTCTGTTTATATGATTGTGGTTATGGTTGTACTTTATGAATCCCTAATCTCTGCCATTACATACAATGAAACAAGAAAATGTATAAAATTAAAAAACAGAGCATCGTAATACAATACACTATTAGACATTATTGTAAAAAATAAATAAAAAGTCCATCCCATGTGTTAGTGAATTTTTAAAATATTTTATACAGGAAATGGCAGGAAATGAGTTTTCAAATTTAGATATTTTTTTTCTGGGGGGGGGGGGAACCTAGACCCCCTGGAAGATTTGGTCCCCCCCAATGTTGACTCCATGGCTACGGCCTTGTTTCGCACTTTACTTAGCCAACCGTGCTAATCGGAGGTGTGTGGATAACAGACTGTAGGGATACCCCTTCCCCGCCTGGTGTGACAGACAAACTCTCTCACAGGACTGCCATCTAACGTGGAGCAAATTCACTGGCCCACTGGTTTGTCTCTCGGGCCACTTGCTCTTTTACTGTGTTTGAGAACGTGGGACATTCTCCAACACTCTGCAGTGGCGTAGCACATTTGTAAAATAACGTAACTCAATTACATTATGTGCTGCATTTCCTAGAAATGAGCGACCTAATAATGCCAAGTGTTTTCCAAGTGATGAATAATAACTACAAATTTAAATAAACATGAAGCAGTGCGTGAATAAAACATCATCATGACAGCACCATTAGCGTCTTCCCAGATTCAAAAAAAAAACCTGCGGGCAATAAACTTCCAAGAATAACAACGGTCTGCTAGTTTGAATTATGTTTGCGCGTTTATTAATATACCAAAGTTGTTAAAAATGACGGGGTGATGACGAATAGAATGAAGCTGTGTTCTACTAGGGACACCACTGAGGGAGCGTAGTCACCCATCGACTTGCACACCACGTGACATCACACGCGTTAGTTCCAGAGCCTTAAACGGTCCATCGCGAGACCTCGTCATGCTCTCTGAAAACGATTTCACGACAAAAATAAATAAGCAAGAGCGAGTTGCTTACTCCACGCCGATCTTCCAAATACGCCGTCAGTGCCGAGCTTAAGCAAAGCACGAGTCATAAGTGCACCACCCTCATCAGTGGCACTGCGTTAAAAACAAACACTATACATACAGTGCACTGGCCGCAGTTACAGGCAACGGCAAGGAGCATCAGAGGGGGGATGAATTTGGTGCGCGAGTTGACTTGTAGTTGCAAACTGGACTTTAAACGCGATGCCTGAAAAACAATGGGATATGAAACTGTTATCCATTAGACAACAATATATACGTGTGTGTGTATGTTGAACTTATTTCGCACCGTACGTAGCCAACCCTGCTAATCGGAGGTGCGTGCTAATCGTAGCAAAACCTTTAAAAGGAAAACATATGGCAACAATTGAATGCCATTTAAACATGTACGTGTATTCATACCATCGTATGTGTGTGTGTGTGCATATACAAACCAGGGATGTGTACTGATTCACCCATGATGACTTGTTATAGCTCGTTGACTTAGATCAGAGTCACAATTCCATTTGAGAAACTGAGTTCGCTGGTCAAACAATCGTTAAAATATAAATAATTGGCGACGTTTCAGGCAATGACCATGGCCTGAAATGTCACATATATTTTTTTTCTTCTGAGGCCACAGTGTTGTTCACGTGTGTTGAGTTTGTGTATGTTCATTGTGCTTCTGCACCACTGCCAATGAACGCAGCATCAGAACATTCTTAGTTTTAATTCTGTTCAAGAATCAAAATTTGCAATATATACGTTTTGATTGTCTGGTTTTATTTGTACAGTTTTGGAATAGTGCCATGGACCTAACGTGGACGTTTCAGTGGCCTAGCAAAATTCAGGAAAGGCATTTCTGCCATTGAGCACACATGCAGACGATCAATCAAATCCTAAAAATAGAGGAACTAATATCAAATTGCATTACATTATTCCTGGAGCTTACCGATTATGAAAAAAGCATTCATTCAGTTCAGGGGAACCTTGAAGCAGTCATCATAACTATAACATGTCTATACTCTTTGGTTCTTTTGGTAAAGTCACGTAGGTATAAAAAAAAAATAGATCACGACGTTTCGATCGCAACACAAGCAGTCGTCATCAGGTGAGACAACTACAGCAAGAAAAAACTCACCTGATGACGATTGCTTGTGTTGCAATCGAAACGTCGTGATCAATTATTTTTCTACCTCCGTGACTTTACCGAAAGAACCAAAGAGTATGGATTCCTACAGTCACGAAAGCTTCAAATCAAGATATAACATTTCTACTTGATTTGTAGACGTGGTATGTAGTCAGTTCTCACGCACACAACTTGATTCCGGCGTCGTAATAACGTATAAGTGTAAGAATCGATTTTAGTTGATGAATTTATGCATCGTCATGTGCCTGTTTAAGAATAGTTTATGCAACTGGTGACCCAGCCTCCGCAATAGAAAACATACCCATAGAGTATAAATGTCCACGTGATAAGCCACGACGTTGTGCTATCATTTGTGGCCAGGTCGTTTCTGCAAAAGAGCTATATATCTGAGTGGGCTTTACCTGGTTTATATTTTTTAACAATCTCAAAGCCAGTGTTTAAGTTGAACTCGCAACCTTCTGATTGCGACTCGCAATCAGAAGGTTGCGAGTTCACATCCTGGTTGCGGGTGGACTCAACCCATCATCCCGTCCGGGTCGATAAAAAAACCGCACCACTTTGTGGGAAATTCAACAGACCCGGTCGTCCGATAGCTAAACCTCACCCGAATCATAGGGAAGTGGAGTATTGATTGCTGGCTCGGGCCTGTAAACAGGAGATGAGCACCAAAGGCAAACAAAGCCGCAATGCCCATTTGAGCAATGAATTCACCTTGACTTCGTGTTTATTTTCTTAAAGCACTGGATTCGAACCCAGGATCCGGACAATTGCGGGCAGACGCAGAGCAAGCCCTCTTTAGCGACGCAACAACAGCCTCATCAGAAAGTCATTTATACTTGCTGTTATTTATACTTGCTGACAGGAGGCATTATGTCTGCTGAGCGTAGAGAGCTCTGTTGACTTGAGACCAGGCTTTCCCATATGGCCTCGAATATATAAAGAATCCTCGTCTTATTCCAGAAAAAATTAAATCAGAAAATGTGTTTACTGTAAATTATTTTACGTTATTGTTGT